AAACTCTCATTCCAGCATAATAATCAAGGAACTTTGCTGCCGTACCATGGGTGCAGCAGGCGCAAAGATATTACTCAGCGCCTGAAAATAGTCCCCAACTAGGTAACTTCCAATGGAAGGCACGCTCTCTGTGCAAGCAGGTGGTCATCTTGGTTATGTTGGCGGAAGTTAGCCTATTTTCAGGCGCTGCGTAATATCATTGCGCCTACTGCACCCATGGTATGGCAGCAAAGTTCCTTGATTATTACACCGGCATGAGAGTATAGTTCCTAGCCATATCGGCCTACAAAATCACAACTTTTCATTTTCCATCTAATCAGATTCAATGGTCTATGCTAAGCTAAGCTAAAAGTGCTACCGCCAGACCCGGAGATCGGCTGAATGGATTCGACAACAGTAAAACTCAACTGTTTAACTCTAGGGGACAAAAATAGTGGAGTGTTCCTTTAATAATTTGAACTTGGCTTCGTTTAATGCTAGTTGGATTAGAAATATTGATTGAGTTTTAATGACTTTTCAGTTTCATCATGAACACTGTATTTCAACTATTTGCACCTCAACATATATATAATGTATTCAAAGAATTGAATTTCCAAGGAGACGTCCTTCCTGTAGTTTAGGTCTTCCTGTAACTCAACCGGTAGAAGGTGACAAACAAACAATGCTGTGTCATAATCTGCTTATGAGTGTTGAGAAGGTATTTTAACATCCAGGAAGTAATTTTTGTAGTGATTTTTTATTTTTAAAAATAGTGGAGTGTTCCTTTAAATAAGGTCTTTATGATATCAAAATTTTTGATACCATATAATTTTTATAATTCTTGTCGCCAGTATCAATATCACAAAAAACTAATACTAGCCTAAATTGAAAAAAATTAAATAAAAAACAACAAAAACAAGCTCACTGAAGACAAGTAAACAGTCAGTAATTAAATAAGAATAAGAAACCAATTACAAGCAATAGGACAAAAAACTACAGTAGAACAAATAAATAAGGCATGCTACATACTAGGGTTGGGCCGATAGTCGATGCCATCGTCCATCGCCGATGGCTGATAGACATCATGATCCCCCCCCTCCATACCCGCCGCATCCCAATACCGTGTTCGGAAAGAAAAATGACGTGTATATGGAACCCCTAAAGGGAATAAATATGAGATGGGAAGAAAATACATATTTTAATCATTTCTCTCGCAGTTATATCATTGGGTAATATTACTGTATATAAATTGCGGGCATCAGGGAGCTGCTATTATGCCTGGCATTAAAACTGCTTTTGAATACACGATGCTTTTTAGTTTCACTTTCGAGATTCGCGATCGCACGTACTCTGTTTATTATACTATGGAGAGGCAGTACTTACCACACATTTTACAAGATTCATTTTTTGTCAGTGGTGCTGAGGATCTGCAAATCATTCGCCATCGTCCTCAGTCATCTCTCCTTACTCTGTTTATGTGGTAAGTGAAATTTTATGTACTGTAATGTAACAGGCAACCGTTAGCAATTGTTTTCTGAATACGGATTCATGTTTCGGGCACACCCCCTAACTCCCCCCCAAACGATGTCATCGTCCATCGTGATGTTTCACTGTAGACATCGTCCATGCCAATTTTGTAGACATCGCCAAACCCTACTACATACATCGTATAAAGTAATCAAATGTATAAAAAACTGCATATTCTTCACTGTGTAAATTAAATATATATTTCTTCTTATTAGAGTTACAAAAGTGAATTAGTCAAGAGCAGTGAGAGATTTTCTCTCTTTTGTTGTTTGATTAACATGAATGAAATACAGAAGGAATATGAGACTGCTGTCACTTTAAGAGCTACTGGGATCCAATCTACTGTTACACGTGTTTTCTTTCTTTCTGTTTGCTTTCATTTAAGAACTAAATTACTGTGTTTACAAAGATACTTGCAAAGATGGGCATTTTGATACATACAAGTGTGTGTATTTAACTGTTTAAGGCCTATAAAGTGGAAAAATATCTCCCGCGCTCTATGAGCACCTCTCTGACAGCGTTCTAAGACTGATGCTACTGATTGCGTTTCAACATCTTAAAATCACTTGTTTTTAAACCACACTGCTTAAAAACGTATGCAAACAATACGTTTTCATGACCTCATAGCACAGCAATGTCATGTGAGCATGTAACCACAATAGAGATGATAGTCCATAATCTCTACTGGTTGACACGTTTCTCCAAGTTAACCATGTCTACCAGTATATCGCCCTCCCCTACATGTCATTTCAAACTCATTTGAGTTTCTTTTCTCTGTGGAGCACAAATAGAAAAGATTAGAAGAATGTTAATGCTGCATATTCATTGAAAATATCAAAAATCCAGTGACAGCATTCCACAAAACATCTCTTTTTGTATACCACATACGGTATAAATAAAGTCATATGGGTTTGGCCCAACATGATGACTAAATGATGACAGAATAGCCTTTTTTGGCAGGTGAACTATCCATTTAACCCTCATGGGCCTTGGATGAAAAAATCAGGCTCTGATGACCACTTTGACCTGCAACATTTCTGAAATGTACAGATCAGAGAGGAGCCTTGTTTTCTTGCTCTTAAAATGTGAAATGAAAATCTGGATGGATTTTAAATGTAATTTAAGATATGTTTCACTTTCCTTTTCATCCTCTCCAGCCAACTGCTCTTTACAACTACAATACTCTTTAAAACATCAATGCCGCTCTGAGGCATACAGTAAAAAGGCCTGTTCTCTTGCCACACTTTCTGCTAGGATTAATACATGTTGGCCTTTTTGTGTTCTGATAAGACGGACCTTGAGGCATTTGTAGGCAAAGAACGGACTCTTTTTTGAATAACAGCAGCTTCCCTCGAAAACCAGGCCCAGCGCAACCTGACAATTGTCCGGTTAGCATTTCTCCTTTAAAACAAACGAGGGGCCGGAGAGCGCAAACCCTTCTCCACAGGACTGGCCGCTGCCTTCGCACAGCTGTGCCGTATTTATCATCTCGCTCCCAACCATGGCAATTTGGCAGTGAGATCACCGGGTGACGAGGTTAACTACTAAAGTTGCATGTAACTTGGAGCCTCCCTCATGATGATTAATCAAGCCAGCCCCTTTTTCCCTGCATTGCATGCAGCGTCGAGCATCTGTGATGGTCAAAGCAAACAAATGGCGTTTTGCCTTTGTTCCTGAAGATGATGCACATCGAACATCCCAAGTAATTAATTTTACATCGCTTCATCTGCGGGGTCCCAAAAGCTAATGAAAGTGTTTTCATGTCACATTGGAGTTCAAGACCCTCTCACTGAGTTATGAGGGGAATGAAGTAATCGGGCCTTGTATTAATCACGTTTAGGTCATTATAGAGTATAAAATGGATTTTAATGTGTGTTTAAAAGTTGAAAAGTTGGTTTAATTCATTTCAATTTATTGATGTAACACTTACAGCAATTACTTCAAAGCTGGTTCTAACATGTTGTACTCATAGCAGGTTCTTCAGGGAAAATGCAAAAAATATTGATGGCGCATCTTGCACACAGAGGTGTATATAAATGTTTTGTCCAATAAAATGAATTTAGAATAAAAGTGTCATCTACCTGTAAAGCCACCTGGAGGTGACTTAATAGGAAGAAATAAATCAGGAATTTCTTCTGTGACATAAACTAAAGACTTCAGGCTACACTCTTAAAAATAAAACCTCCAAAAGGTGGCTTTTGTAGTGATGACAGTAAGGTTTTGATGTAAAAATCCAATTCATTTTCTCCAATGGATTTTTGATGACTACACAAACTAAAACTCTTTATTAATAACTTTTTTTTTTTTTTTGAAATCCCTGTGGAGAAAATCAATGGAAAAAATACCTCTGGACTCAAGGCCACTGAAAAAGTGTACCATCACAATTGTCCAGTATAGGAAATTTGACTATTTTATCAAATAATGTAATGGGATTTCACTCTTAAATGACATGAAATTACTGATAAAATGTTCTTAATAAGTTTTAAATGTCCTGTTTCCTTCTCAATAGTGCCGCATCCGCAGAAGCAACTGTCCTATAACACATCCAAAGCTGGGGTGGTAAAGCTCACGCAAACCTTGGGCACAGAGTGGATCGACCGAGGCGTTCAAGTCAATTGCATCTCCCCGTAAGTGTGACAGACCATAGACTGTGCTGTGTGGGATAAGTCAAAATTTCACTGGAATACATTTTCATTGCTGCTAACATGATTATTTCCCACTTGGTGCAATCTTAAGCAGAGTCACGTGCTCTGGGTCTTCCCAATATTATGTTTTTGGATGTAACACATGAATCAATGCCAACTTTTTTTGCAAACAAAAAAAAAGGCCTTTCTCTCTTCATATGTGCATTGCACCAATTAAGCAGAGAGGACTGTTTTGATATTTAAGTGGAAACTTAATTTGTTTTGACAGGGTCAAAATGCATTATTTTCCACAATGGGCCACACAATTGAGACTCAGTTACTAAATTACAGTGTGAAACAATGCAATCCAGCTTAATTGGATGACGTCTAGAGGGATGAGTAGAGCAAACAGTTTCTTTAATTGTTATATTCAATTAGGGATTCAAATTAGCCTCTTCAGCAGAAGTGTCAGCAAAACAATGGCAGCCTTGTTTGTATCTATTTGTCAGCGCAATTCTTCTGAGGAAAGGAAGAAAAGAGCAAGAGGAAGCGTGCGCGTGTCGCTTGAAGCCGAGCATCCCCAAGCCCCCGTGCTTCCGCAACACGTGCACATGTGCTCTTTATTCATTTCTATATAGCGCCAGTTTGTTTTCTAATTTTAATTTGCGAGGAAGCAATTCTTTTCTCTATGTCGAAACCCCCACCCCTGCCTCAAACACAAGGTCTCTCAATGGGCCCCTGATTTCTGTGAAGTGACGGTTCGTAAATATGCATACAGTAGGGGGGACCACAATTAGCGTGTGTGAGGTTGACTGCCGCCTGATTTCATTGGCAACTTTAGCCGCGACTGTGATAAGCCGCATTATCTGCAAAATTGGCTGAGGGAAAACAGTAAGCCTTTGATTGCCAGGACGGGTTCCCAGATAAAGCACTGCTGAAGAGAAATATAATTGAGATTTATATATGTTAACCAAAGGTTTCACATGCTACTTCAGCGCCTCTAATTTAGCTGCGGTGTCGGATTTGGTATCAAGTCGAATGGAATCTATTCGTAAATGGCGCGGCAGGCTGTTGGGGATTTGGGCTGTCAGTGAGTGTGTGAACAGGCAGGCTGTATTTCCCATGCGGCCGCCCGGTGTGAAGTACATTTGCTCCAATTTGGAGTGCATTTCCTTTAGTTAGGCACTAAAGTGCCACTCAAGTTTGAACGTAATTTCAAAATCACAGTTGATGTGGACAGTTGGTGATCTAGTTTACTACATGCAGCTCTTTTAGTGCTGCATAAGAAACATAACATAAGAAATGTACTCATTACATATTACAGTCATCATGAAAGGGCAATCACAACAGCAGCCCAATTTATTTGAAAAAGAAAAAAGGCCAAGAATGGATTTTTATCCTTTGGAAATTGATTGCATTGTGTGCAGTCTGTACCAAATGGTGCCAGACCTGAATATGATTGTCGCCTTATTACTGGGAAATTTTTCTGAGTCTCTACCATGAAGGTGACCATGAAGTGAATGGTGAAGGAAGCTCACCCTCAAAAAGTTACAGTATTTTTTTTAAACTAAATTAATGTTGAGTCAATTCATGTCTGTCTATATATATTTTTTAATATACATAACATTCTGCATTTGACCAAAATACTGTAATATAGTGAAATATTATTACAATAAAAAAAATGTATTCCTGTGATGGCAAAGCTGAATTTCTTAGCAGCTATTACTTCAGTCTTCAGTGTCACATTCAGAAATCATTCTAATATACTGATTTGGTGCTCAAGAAGCATTTCTTAATCTTAACACAGTTGAAAACAGTTGTGTTGCTTAATATTTTTGTGGAATTCTGAGATGAATAGAAAGTTCAAAAGAACAGTATTTATTCAATATATATATAATTTTAAGGCATTTTATTTTAGTTAATCACCATTAATCACATATATTTTGATATTTGCTGAACATCAATTAAAGGCCATTGGTCAAATGGCTACTGTTTTATAGGAGTTATACAGTATATGTATGGCTTAGGTGACACTCAAATTGGTAAGTAATTTTAGAGGTGGTGCAAATAGATTTGATTTTATGAAAGATCATGAAAACAAAAATGCACAATAAGACCAGGAACCAGGTTTTAAGAAAGTAAATAGGGTCAGATTTGATTTCATGTTGACTTTAAGACTTCTGAAGTTCAGTTTGGAGTGTGTCAATCACACTATCCATCCATCAAAGGACACTGAACCAGTGTAAACACCATCAGAGCTGTTCTGCTCAGTACTGAGGTCCTTAAAGGATAGCCAACTTCATTTTATGTCACTGTGACTGCTATAACTGAAACAAGTGGCCCTGAAACAACACTGTCTCTCTGCCTCTCACGTCTGATCTGTCGGTCTCTCTCTCTTTCTCTACAGTGGTATTGTTGACACCCCTCTCATCCATTCAGAGAGTCTGGAGCCTCTAGTTCAGCGCTGGCTGTCAGATATCCCAGCCGGACGACTGGCTCAAGTGACAGACCTCCAAGCTGCAGTGGTATACTTGGCATCTGATGCCTCTGACTACATGACAGGGCATAACTTAGTCATAGAGGGTGGTCAGAGTCTGTGGTAGAGAAAGTTTGCCTCTTGGATTTTGTAATACACTCTCACCCAGTGTTCCTTAAGGATACTGAGTCACTAACTTGATTTTAATGATGCAGTACATCGGTGAAGGTATGTACTGTACATTTTAAGTAATCAACAGGTCCACAAACTTTTTTAGTGTGTAGTGTCTCAATTGTAAGCAACTCTACTTGTGCGTTAACTAATGCATTTTGTACGAGGTTTTTACATGTAAACACTTTTACAATAAACATTAACTTCCACGTTTTTTTCTCCAAATTTTTCAGCGTGTATTTTAATGTTTCACATATTTATTTTGAGTTAAAAATAACCTCAACCACTGCATTTTTTTTGCCTTGTTTTCCCAAATACAAATATCTAAACTTTCTTAAATCAAGATACTTAATTTACTTGAGAAGCAGCATGACATACACAACTGTAAGGTTTTGTTTTCTTTAAAAAAAAATTCATATCAAAAAAGAAAAAAATATTTGCCAATATTAGGAAAAATAATCTTTTTCCTTTGAATTAAGTTAATTTTTCTTACCCCATTGGCATTTTTTTCTTGTTTTATCCATAAACTCACTTAATTTTGATACATTTAATATCTGATGTCCTTTTGCTTCTCAAGTAAATGTATCTTGATTTAAGAACATTTAGATATTTGTACTGGAAAATAAGACAAATACTAAGTAATAACATTTATTGCAGCAAGGTAAACCTCAGCACATAACTCATCACATATCATTTGTGTTATAGGCATGGTTGATACTCAAATCATGTGGCTTGTTGTGGAGAGGTGTGTTACTACTTTTTGAAGTGTTCAGATGTACAATTTTGGCTTGGAAATGACATGAGCCGTTTTTGAACACTGGTCAAATATGAGCATAACAACTGTTCTCCAAATGTAATCACTACTAAATTTGCGCCCTGATTCAGATGCATCATAAACTTTTACAGTGGATTTGCAATGCTACGTACCTCAATACTATCTGCTATAACACTCGTTCAAGTCTATCCACCCATGTTCAACCTTGTGTATAACACTACCGGACTCTTTCACCATCAGCAGTCGTGAATGATCCTGTAAGGGCCTCTCCCACAGCTATCTTAATTGCTCGCTGTTCTGTGTATATGCTGAAAAACAATACTTGAATGAAAAGGCCAGTGAAAAACTTGACCCCAGTCACTGCAATTATTCTAAAGGAGTGGCCAATTAGTTCCATTAGTAAAGCAATAGGATAGCAGGTTTGCACATAAATGTCTATAATTTAATGCCATCAGCTCAGATACTTGGCCAGATATTTACATAATTAGTACGGTAAATGAGGAGATTGGTGTTGGAGAGCTTCATTGTTATGTTAGATCGACGATTCTGCCACTGATCTGAAGCCCAGCATCATATTAACTGTCAAGATATTCACTTTTAGATCCAAGAATACAAAATATGAATGTTTGGATGTGTTAAATTCAGAAATACTACTAATCAGGGCACAATTAGTATTTAATGGCAAAGTTATATTAAACATACTCTGAGAAGCTTTAAAAATCAGCGAGACTTAATGAGAATCAGTGATTAGATTAAAAGTATGATACAGTATCTGTCCACAAAGTGGAAGCATGGAGTCAGAAAGCTTCAGTTCACCATGTGCTTCTTGTTTTTTATACCAGCACATATCACTGAAGAAGCAATCAAGCTGTCATTGCCCATTGTCTACATTCTGTACATGGGGAATCTGCAGTTTATCTCCTTTTGGAAAGAAGATGATTGTTTAATATAAAATGCTTCTCAATCTACGTAAAATAAAATTTAGGATGCTAGGTTAAATGTTTGCTTTAGTATTCAGTCTATTGATATTTAAAGATTTTTTTTTTTTTTTTTGCAGTTCACAGGTGACCTTTAGATTTAGTAGTAGAATCCACATTTCAGTGTGTAAAAGGTTTGTTCGATAATAAATAAATAGTATAATAGCATTATAACACTACAACATAAAATATATATTAATCATATGTATGTGTGTGTATGTTATTAACAAATATTATAATATATAGAACGTAAATTATATACATTATTATATTACTACTACTACTACTACTATTACTTGAGAAGAAAAATGACTAAAGAGTCTTTTTTTCAGAAAACTTCTTAAACTGCTATACATGTTATATTATGTTTACTGCTGTAAACTATTTCCAAGCTCTCTTTGAAGACCTCATTTTCCCTGAACCTCTTGCACCGTAGGTTTTTTTTAGGCTAGGGTAGAAGCAGCTAACTTCAAACCTATGACTGCTCCATGATGTGTAAGTGATCTTGAATACATTATTGATGACCTCCTTGAGCTGCAATTACTATCAGGAGCGTGGGCACGGCTGTTGTGCTAAATGCGTCTTCAGTGGAAAAAGAAACTAGTGCTTTGCTGCTTCTCTTTTTCAAGTAGCCTATACATTCTTCACATGAACTTTGATTAATGTAGATATACTCTGTGTGTGTGTGTGTGTGTGTGTATATATATATATATATATATACACACACACACACATACATACACACTGCATATACAGATAGATACAATTTGTAATAAATTAAATATATATTAAAATATATCATTTTAATTATATATATTTTTAAGTTTATTTTAAATTATTGTTTTAAGCCTTATATTTATTTTAATGATTTTTACAAAATAATTTTTAGATTATTCTTAAACATCTTCCGTTTTAAATGTGTTGTAAATGATTAACATATATAGATACATTAGGCAGCAGTCTTAGTCCATATTAATAAGCTGTCTAGAGTGATTTTTATTCAGTTTTATATTATAACTTGAGTATACAAATGTCAGACACACACACATTCATATTCGCACAGATGCCACCGCACTGTAACCTTTCTACGCTGCTAAACAGTTGACATTTGAGAGTCCTTGCTTCAAACTAACTGTGAGTTGTAATTACATGCATTTTGAAATGAGCAATTATCGATAAACCCAAATTACTCAACCCCAAGGGGCTTGCTATCACGGCAGTGCTAGCTGTTTTTTTCTGTTTATGACATTTTATTTCATCCAGTTTCTTTTCAGTGACAAAATAGCTGACCATAAACAGGCTTCTTTCTCAGGTGAAGACTTTTAGTTGCATTTCCAACTGTTTGTGAGTGTACAAGTGTTTAATTCTGATGTGTAAGCTCTGTTTATGCCCTGTTTGTGATCTCATGTCTTATTGATGATAGCAAGCTTGCGCTGTTTGCTCAGATCAGACTCACCTGCTGACATACAGGACTTCAAAACACATTACAGTGTATAGAAAGGCACACTTCCACAGAATAATAAAAAGGGCAACATTTTGTCAACGTGTGCCGTACCTCTCGATTCTATTGAAATAGAGGCGGGAAACCGGCCACGCAGATGTGCATTATTCATGTAGACGACGTGTTTACTCTATTCATGTAGAGTGTACAACACATCATTCTCGCAGATTAAGGGCCTGTTTGACTGTAGCTGCCTAAACATTAAACCTCATGAATTACTGATTCACAATTTTTATTTGAGAGTTTGCATTTCTGAGTCACAACAGAACCAATGAGCTGTTTTAAAAACAACTGGTTTGTATGTGACCATCATAAATGATAAAAGTTGGCTTTCATTGATGTGCTGTCACAGAGGTCATGTCAAAAACATTTGATTAACATTGAAATGCTTTGTTTTATGCATCATAGTTTCTTTTTAAAGTATGTCAGTTCACTTGCAGTTATCCTAACAACTATTTTTAGTTATGTATAGCTGCTCTCTACTTGAATGGGGAAAGACCAAATTCTCTAAAAAAAAACATTTCTCAATAGCTATGTTTCCATCCCCCTATTTTTATGCGCATTTTGGAATATCGCATAAAAAAAACGCTGGATGGAAACGCACATAAAAATGTGCATAAACTTGGAAACACATTTACCAAAGAAATTCCACCATGCGCATCAAAACATCACGTTACTTTGCAGGTTGGAATGGGATAACTTGACTAAGCAGCGGACCAATCTTGTACTGAAATGTTGTTTTGGTCATTCTGAAATGCCTGAACAAAGCATGTCATCAAAGTATTTCTGTATAATTGTCTTACACAACTGCATTCCCAAACAGCAGGCATCCACCTCTGAAAGCAATGACAGCATTTATTGTTTCGTCTGCTCGCTCTGAGGCACAAGTAATTTATCATACTGTATATAAAAATTATTATATTTATATGATAGTGATATTTACTGGCAGTTTATCAGGAAGTGACGATTTTGTCACTCAGTGAAGGGAAACAATTCTTTACTCGCAAATGTTTTATGCGATATTCCAGTTTTGCACATAAGTTAAATTTGAATCTTTGGATGGAAACAAAGCTAGTGATATGTTTAAATGGCAGAATAAACTCTGGCAAGAATGGTATCATAAATTGTGCTTCTTGGGCTCAAATCTACAAAAAAATGTTAATATTAAAAAATGTACATATTTATTTACAGTGCGGTGATAGATATACTGTAGTTTGTTTGAACCTTTGACAATTAGTTTTAGCCACTTTGCTTGTGATTCTCAAATAAAAAAACTTCAATATGAAGAGTTCAGATGCAAAAGCCTCTAAGTGCCATTTGAAATTTTCTTCTAAAATTAGCATTTTTCTCAGGCTGCTATATGTTTACCCATGCAGGTGAAAAACAAATGCACTTCCATAATGTACTTAAAGTGCTCTATTTTCACACACTAATCTTGTACTCAATATACTAAAAATGATTCTTTAGTACTTCTTAAGATAAAAAAGATCATCTAAGTGTACTCAACTGTGCTATTTTGGGACACCATGAATATGAACTAAAATGCACTTTTAACATACTATATCCCCCTATTTTTATGCGCATTTTGGAATATCGCATAAAAAAAACGCTGGATGGAAACGCACATAAAAATGTGCATAAACTTGGAAACACATTTACCAAAGAAATTCCACCATGCGCATCAAAACATCACGTTACTTTGCAGGTTGGAATGGGATAACTTGACTAAGCAGCGGACCAATCTTGTACTGAAATGTTGTTTTGGTCATTCTGAAATGCCTGAACAAAGCATGTCATCAAAGTATTTCTGTATAATTGTCTTACACAACTGCATTCCCAAACAGCAGGCATCCACCTCTGAAAGCAATGACAGCATTTATTGTTTCGTCTGCTCGCTCTGAGGCACAAGTAATTTATCATACTGTATATAAAAATTATTATATTTATATGATA